CTGGCTTGTGCCAGAGTCTTTGCAGTTCGATCTTTAAATCCTCATATTGTGTCAACTTATCCAGTTGCTTCTTGTCAATCCTGCTGTCACCTGGGATTGCAACATCAATGAGCCATACTTCATTGTTTTCCACGATTGTGAGGTCAGGAGTCTTGTGCTCCAAAACTCTCAGTCTGGATTCAGGAGTCCCAGAGTAGTTTGACATGTTCATTTTGTGTAACTTTTTCAGGCTTGTGATCCCAGCAGTTCTTTGTCTCAGGCAGACAGTATTTGTGGCACAAATTCCAATGGATCATCTGAGCAACTGTGTTGTGCCTCTGCTTGTAGTCCATCTGCGCCAACTTCTTACAGCAGCTGAGTATGTGATCCATCCTTTCGTTGGCTCCCTTGCAGAGTCTACATTTGGGATCTGTTGTCGACTTTTCAATTCTGACTTTGATGGCATTGGTTCGAATGGCTTGTTCTTGGGCTGCCAGAATCAGGCCCTCCTTTATCTCCCTTTTTAGAGTTCCATTTGTGAGCCACAGCCATGTTTTTTCTTTGTCAATTTGGCTCTCAATTTTTCCCAGGAACTGTCCATGGAGAGCCTTTATTTGCCTGTTTTCTCTTTTGCTCTGCATTGCATTGCATTTTTGAGATATTCCCTCTTTGTCTTTTGCACTTTAAGCAGTTTTTTACTATTGACTTCCATCAATGTTGGTTCCCAGTAAAGTGGCCTTCTGCAGCTAGCAGATGGTCATTTTGTCAGCGCTGATTGTGTTTAAATGTAGGCCAAGGTCTTTAGGCATTGCACCCAGTGTGCCAATCACCACTGGGACCACCTTTACTGGTTTCTGTCAGAGTCTTTGCAGTTCGATTTTTAAATCCCCATATTGTGTCAGCTTTTCCAGTTCACATAGATGATCCATACTTTGTTTTTTAACATGATTGTGAGGTCAGGAGTCTTATGCTCCAAAACTCACGGAATCCAGAAGTCCTAGAGGAGTTTGACGTGTTCATTCTCTGTAACTCTTTCCGGCTTGTGATCCCATCAGTTCTTTGTCGCAGGCAGATGGTATTTGTGGCACAAGTTCCAATGAATCATCTGAGCAACGGTGTTATGCCTCTGCTTGTAGTCTGTCTGTGCGATCTTCTTGCAGCAGCTGAGGATGTGATCTATTATTATCATTATTGTTGTTGTTGTTACTCTGCTTTTTCTCTGCCAAAAAGTCTCAAAGCAACAAACATAAATAGGATTAAGGCAGTTTGATGCTACTTATTTCTATTGTTACTGTTGTTATTATTTCTCTGCCAAAAGAGACACAAAAAAGCTCATTTTTGGAGGCTTTTAAACAGAGGCTAGATGGCCATCTCCGATGGTGCAGTGGGTTACGCCACTGAGCTGCTGAACTTGCTGACCAAAAGGTTGGCAGTTCGAATCTTAGGAGCGAAGTGAGCTCCCGCTGTTAGCCCCAGCTTCTGCCAACCTAGCAGTATAAAAATGTGAGTAGATCAAAAAGTAGCACTTTGGCAGGAAGGTAACAGCGCTCTATAATAATAATCATAATTAAAAAAACTTTATTTATACCCCGCCACCATCTCCCCAAGGGGACTCGGAGCGGCTTATATGAGGCCAAGCCTGACAACACATCAATAAAACAAAACAAAAAAAAGCCAAAACAATACAATTAATATAGCTCACATATAAACAGTAACACACAAGGATTTAAAAAACCTATGGCTGGGCCAAATGTAATAGTTTAAAATTTAAAAAATAAACCCTGGGCATTAACAGAGGTAGGATGTATCTGATAGGAGGGTTTAAAAAGAAATTTGGGGAGAACCACCCAACAAGTAGTTAAAGTGCTTCTGAGGACATTTTGCTGGGGATTATTTCCTGATTCAGGGAAGGCAAACTGGAACAGCCACATTTTCAGGCTCCTCCTAAAGACTGCCAATGTGGGGGCTTGCCTGATATCCTTAGGAAGTGAGTTCCAGAGTCGGGGCCACCACAGAGAAGGCCCTCTCCCTCATCCCCACCAGTCGCGCCTGTAAAGGGGGAAGGAGCAAGTGAAAGGCCTCTCCAAATGATCAAAGAGATTGCATGGGTTCGTACACAGAAATGGAGGTGTCTACGGACAACGTTGGCTCTTCGGCTTAGAAATAGAGATGAGCACCACCACCCTGAGTCAGACACGACTAGACTTAATGTCAGGGGAAACCTTTACTTTTACTATTATAATATTTGTATTCCTTCAAGTCAAGGTAAAACACGAGTAGCAGGCATAGATAAAAAAACAAAACAATTCAAAGCCATACAAAAATCATTAATACTAATAAAAGTTAAGTTTTACAATTGCATCCCTTTATATAAAATGGCAGATATGCCTTTGGAAATTGTCTTTTGGGGTGTTTTTCAGGCTGTGGACAGTGGGATCTTATACGTTGCACTCGTTATTGTATTTATATCCACTCTTTCCCTTACTCCAAAGTGACTCAAAGCAGTTTACAAAACACAGCACAACAAATAAATACAAACCTGGTTGGAAAACACCCACAAAGTTGTGATTAAAAATAACATTGAAACTCTGGAACGGTGGGAAAAAAGCAAATAAAAGTAACCCCATCCTTAAAGGCTGCTGGAAGAAGAAAGCAGTGTTCTCCTGGAAGCAAACCTTGGAGGGATTTATAGTTCATGGTCAACAGTAAGTTGCATTGGACCAGTTCTTGGATCCATGGGATGCAGATAACTGGAAGGGAGAACTAATGCTCCAGGAAACAGAGTTAGGATCCAGAACGCTATGAAACATGTTTTCCCGGGTTATAAATGTCATTTCCTAATTGGTTATATCCTAAAATCATGGAAAAAGTGTATTAAACTACAAAAACTTGGTTGCAAGAGGGACATCCTGCAGAAAAATGTTCCGTCCCCAGTTTGAAAGTGGGACTTCCTGTTTAATTGTGTGGTCCTTAATTGGAAAGGAGTTGATCTACTCTTTTCCAAGTAAAAGTTTGTTTTTGTGTGCTTCAGACTATCTTGGCTCGGTTGAGACTCAATGAGAGATTCATGGAAAAACGAGAGCCAAATGTACTGCGGGATGTCTTGCAAAAACAAACCTTTTGCTATTTAATAAACTTTTCCCATGTTTTTATGATAGAACCAGTTAGGAAATGACATTGATAACCCAGAAACACAAATCCCTCTTT